TGTAGAAGAGGACCTTGGACTTTGATTCTGGATCAGCTGGTCAGCATTGTTGCAATAATTCTTGTTTGAATATAAGAGAGGRGGACATATGGAGTTGAGAAGTTGAGCGAAGGAGAAGTGCTTTGACATTGGTTCTTTGCTGGTGTAYTTCATCTTCTTCCTTCTTACTACTACTTCTTCTTCTTCTTATCCTCTCAATCCTCTCAAGTTCATTCATTTCTTTTGCAATTGGGCAGCATTGTGCTTTATTGGTGAATTTGTACTTCGCAATTGGTCCGGGTCATAACACAAAGGTCCCAAGAAACAACGTCTTTGGTCGCATGACTAGGTCATTCTCTTTTGCCTTACCAACCACGACAATAACTTCTAGAAGAGGTGCCCAGTCTCTCTTGTCTGTGAAGCTATCCGTAGTTAGAAAACAAGAGAGTCTTTCAAATTGCCTGACTCGTTCCCCCAAGTCACTTTCTCATACAAGCTTCGAAGTAACTCCCTTACCCTTGAAAGGTGAATGTACACTCTCCTCAAACACTCTAAATAACCTTCTTCCTCTTTTACTCCTTCCTGAGCATAAACCCTCACATTAATCTCGTCGGTATTGAGAAATCTGACTACTTGAACATTAAATACTAAACGTCCCCCCTTACAGACGTCATGTCTCAATATCTCGAACGGGCTATCAGTCGCAGTTACTTTATCTATCCTTCCTCTACTAATGGTCACAGCCGCAATTGAGATAGAGTTTTCACATTCTAGTATCATTGCCTTAGGCTGCCTCTAGCGCCTCTAGCCAGACTATCCGCATGACGCTGTCTAGATAGGATGGTCTCATCTCTCGCATGTAGCATCACTCTCCTGCCATCCGAACTCTTGCAATTCAGCAGATGTCTAATCTTAGTCTGGTCCGTAATTGCTCTAAAGGCAGCCGCTCGCATAAGCTCAAGGTAGTGCTATACCATGCCAATCTCGTCGTGCCTACCTAGTCTAGTGTCGCATCCTTTCACAACCCCGATAACAGTCGCTTGCTGTTCGTCTAGATGGACCTCAAAGCAAAAGCTCTTTCAGTCATCAGGAGTGTAGACACCGATCGGCATAGCTCACCACACTCGATCCCTTAATACCGCGTTGAGAATTGGTCCCCAGTCCTTCCCGTCGCAGAAGCTAGCACACATAGGAGGACTTGGGAATCTCTCAAACTCTCTAGGTAGGACACTCCACGTCATTTTCTTTCCTTTTTGTTTCAACAACAACCTTTTGTCTAGGATATACTCAGCAACAACTACCCAACACGCCTCATAGTGCCTCTTCTTGTTCCAGCAGATGCATACGGCCGTACATCATACTCGTTTGTATCAAGGAATCGAACTACAAGGACGTACAAGATCACTGAGTTGTGCTCACATGTCACACCTCTCAATGACGTATGGGAAGACACCTCCAGCCGTGATCCTGGTCAGTGCCTCTATCGCTCTAGTTACTGTCGACATGGGCAGCCTACCAACTCTGCCTTCTCAATGCCGAATTGATGATTGGCTGCCAGTTCCTACCATCGCAAAATCCTCTGGGTACTGGCGGGGTAGGAATCTTCTCATAAATCTTAGGCAGTAAGTTCCAACTCGCCTCTATCCCTTGCTGTCTCAGTTGATCCCTCCTTACTTCGACACATCTCACAATAACATCCCAGTTGGTAAAGAAACTCGGATCCCGATATGCCTCTTCAAGGATGTAGGGTCGAATATCATAATCATCAGTGTCAATGGATCTTGAGACAAGCACATACACAGTCGTTGCACTTTTCACACAAGTAATGCATTTTACAAACTATAAGGGAAGGCACCACCGCAGGTGACACGAGTTAGGGCTTCTAGAACATTATACTTGCACGTCTGAGTCACTTCAGATAGACTTCTGCAGGATGCCCCTCCTCTCGGGGTTCCTCTAGCCGAAAAGTCTTTCTGACCTGAGCCAGACCTTGTACGAAATGTTAGACTGCTGCCTAGTCACTGAATATTGTGACCAAGGTTCGCTCTCAGGAACTCAAAATTTTTGAGTCCCCGGCAACGGCGCCATTTTTGTCGCGCCCCCACCTTTTCCAGGGTCTGGCTCGATGTCCCTCCCCGGGCCGAGTACAGTGGGTTGGTGGACTGGCAGGCTGTCACGCAGGATTTTGGAAAGTTTTAGGGAAATTAGAAATGCATTCACAAGCAGCCTTTGTCACACAGTCGAGTAGTCAGGGTTATCCCTCCTGCCAGCGGCGACACGGCTTAGAGAGAGGCGTTCGGTTTTATCGCCTGCACATGACCCCGTATAAAGGTTAGAATCAAGGTCACCGGAGTCCCTATTATCCAGGAGTCCTTCAAGTATCCTTGAGTGTAACCTATTATGATAAGGAGTGATAAATAACTTGTTATCTCATGCACAAACATTCCATGCATTACAGGACATGCATCATAAATCAAATGACACTGAGAGGACAAAAAAAAACAGAAACCAGACTCTGCAAGAGCATGACCAGAGACACGAGACTGAAGAGTAGTACACAGAGAATGCAGGAAACAACCATAGGAGGGGTTGCAGTCACTGATAAAACATAATAATGTCATAATACATCTCAGTGACTAGAAGATACGAGCCTCAGTCAAAAAACGACAAGTGGTACCCCCTCATGAGTGGGCTCGACTGTCTGGGACTGCGTATTTGCTACACGCTGGTCCTCCTCATCATTGAGAACCTGAGTGGCTATCGACTCCGGGACCACATAGATGATGTCAAAAGATGTCGCAGGATCGATCTTGCTGATAAATGCCATGCACCTCGCCATCTTCTCGTGCGCGACAGTCTGGAGGTACAGCTCCTTGGCGAGGGAAATGCTGCCAGTGGCACCGATGAAGATCTCAATTTGTCCCTTGTCGTAGATGTAATCATAAGAAACCTCCAGGAAACGGTCTCCATAGAGTGGCTTTCGAAAAGCTTGTATGACGAAGTTTGCTCCCACCAAATGACTGTAGCCATCCCCAAGATATGGGAGTGATCCCTCCCCCCTTGAAGAGCCGGCTACCTCCTCTGACCTGGGTCCTCTTGACATGTAATACCTGGGCCAGTCACCCTCAAGTAGGTATCGTGCCAAGAGATAAGCGACCCGTCGTAGGGCTGCTTTCCACCTGCGTCTCGCTCCAGTGATCAATGTCATAAGATGCTCTGGATCTGCTCCAATCTCAGACGACTCAGTCCCTGTGAGTATCCCAGTCAAAATAATCTCCCAAGTCAACGTCGCTCACACAGCAAGGCTCTTGGTCTGACTCGTCTGTCTCTGACCTCTGTAAGCAGGTAGTAATAGGTATTCCGGATCTAGCCACCTCGCTCCTTATCCTTCTGTCCTGATGCCTCTTTTCCTTGCTGCCACCTCTGCTCAGTGGCTTTGGATTACAGCCATCAAAGTCAAAGAGAGCACCACCTGGTGCGAAGGGGACCTGGGGAGACACCACATGTAACCAGTGCTCCCTTCAGTAACTCTCCCTGCGGAAGATATAATCAGCAATCCGGTCATAGGTGGCTCCCTTTATTCCCTGCCCAGCATCTCTTACGTGATAAGTGATCACCAACTTGTATCTCGATGCGGGAGACTCATTGGCCCTAATGACGAAGCCCTGATGCCCATTGTGTCGATAGCAGAACTTCTCAACCAACTTACCCCATGTGGGGGTTGTCTCATGTTAAGAAGCCAGCTTGACCAATCTGCAAAATAAAATAGAATGCCCCTGGCAAGCTGCTATGCCAAACAATGATGTCCTGGAGATGAGGTGGATATCAGCAACTCAGGAAAAATAGTCCGACTCGATGGGGTCAGAGAGGACAGCACCTCAGTAGACGCTCCAGCCAAACTGGTAACAACCAACTCAATATAGAGGCCTGCCTGAATGTGCCTACCTGGATCAGCAATCAACTCGATATAGGGGCCCGATTGAGAGGGCCCGACTAAACAGCAACAACTCGATATAGAGGCCCGCCTGAATGGGCCCGGCTGAACAACAACAACTCGATATAGGGGCCCGCCTGAATGGGCCCGGCTGAACAACAACAACTCGATATAGGGGCTTGCCTGAATGGGTCCGCCTGAACAGCAACTCAGCAGCTCAGCAACTCCTCATAACAACATCATACGAACATCTCTGCAGCGAGTGGACTAGAATATAAGGACTGGGCGCACACAGGAGTAAGCCAAACTGAGACCGGGCGCGCACTCGAATAGCCGAACTGCCGAACTGAGACTGGGCGCCCACTCGAGCAGCC